ATCACAAGGTATTCCTTTAAATACAATTCTATAATTAGTAAGGAAAATTGCTCCTTCTGCTGGCAAGAGTGGTGGTATCTTTGGTAATCCTGAAGTAAAACTTTCTTCTCTACCATCTGGTAAAAGATAAACACGTAAGCCATCCATAATAACTTCTTCACCAGGTAACATATTAGGTGTCAAAATTTTAGGCTTTTGTATTGGAGGTAATCTTTTACTTTCTCTATGTATAGCTTCAAGAGTTTCAATATGCATATGAACGACACCAGGAACCATTTGATGTAGGCATCTTACATGTTCAGCACTTACACCTCCTTCAGTACAAACACGATCTACAAATCGTGAAACCATTCGAATAACAGCACTACCAGTTTCTCCAGGATCAGTTTCTTCAAAACCAGATTCTGCATCACCACTATCACTTGCTACGCTATTTGTAATACTATTACTTGCTCTTTCATCATCATAAATATTATCTTGGCGATGAGTTTTTGCTCCTATATCTAATGGTACTAATAGATAAACCATTCTATTTGCATAATGAATTGCTTGACTATACATAGTACTTTCTTCACTTGCAATAAGTTCTTTTTGTTTTTCTGAATCAATTGTTGGCCAAATTCTCATTTGTTCAGCAGCTATTTCAAGAGCCGATGGTTCTTGAATTTGATAAATTGAATATCGATCACGAAATGGAAATTCTTTGCCGTCACGTGGACTAATAGGACTTAAGATACCATCATTTATAAGTCGTGGTGGAGAATTTTCACCAGGAAGATATAAACGTTTAATATCTTTTTGAACATCTAAATAAAAAGCATCTTCCCAAAATTGTTGATTTTGCCATACAGGATGTTCTTGAATACAAGTATATGCAAATTGAATTACTCCTGTGCAAAGTTTTCTACAAAATGCTGTAGCAAGAGGAAGAAGTGCAGCAGCAACTCCATGTTCATCCATAGATGAATCATCTTGTAATGCACAATTCATTAATCGAACTACAAGATCAAATTGTTGATGTTCTAGCATGGCTTTATTTCCCACAACATGCTGTGATAATTCCATGCAAAGTGCTAAACGAGCAGCTTTGCTTTTCAAAGCTCTTAAAACAGCTGGAAATGTCTTACGAGCATCAGATATTTTATTTTCAAATATACAATTTATACAATTACGCAGAACTTCCAATCTACGTGCAGAATTGCTAACCAAATGTCTAGTATCATGAACAAATGAAATATGTGGACCCATAGGTACAATACGAGGTTGTGATGGTCTTAATGATGATAATCTATAAAATATTACACATAAATATAAAATTTAATTAAATTTTTTTAATTTAATTAATTAAAAGAGATATTTTATATATATATTTTTTTTATTATTTAAAATAATATATATATAAAATAATTTATATAGAATATATTTTTAATACAAACCTAACTTTAAGATTATTTTTTGTAAGACCTTCATCTATAATTGCTTGAACTTGTTCTGGATTAATACGTGGTAAAAGCGGCTGATGTATTCTAGCAAATGCTCCTTCAGGTGGCTTTAAAATTTTTTGTACATATGGTTGAGGATTTGGATTTTCATTTGTGTATAATTGTTGTGCTAATTCTTGAATATGTGTTAAAATAAGTCCTAATATCGAAATGATACTTATTGTATATAAATATTTTTTTATTTTTTTATTTAATTTATTATATAATTATACATTATTTATTATATATTTATATAATTATAATATATTTATTTATTAATTACATATAATTATTACTTACTATGATCTTGTGCTTCTTGCTTTAATTGATCACTTAAATTATTATATAATTCATCCCATACATCACAAGGCCTCCATGGTGGTCCCCTTTCTGCAATAAAGGAAGTAAAAAACATGCAATCCAAAACTCTAGTTGTAAAATCACAATCAGTCAAGCCACGTTCTCCTAAGAAAGCTGCCTAAAAATAAAAAATATAATTTATATTTCTCTTTTATTTTTGTATATTACAAAATTGATAAACCAATAATAATTAAAATCAAATAATAATTAAAAACCTTATGAAATGTTATGACTGGCTTTGGATGAATTCTTATTAATGTTAAACAACTTCTATATCCTTGTAATAACTGTGCGAATGTTCTCATAAAGACTGCTCGTAATTCTTTATCCAACATAGGAGAATGAGGGGCTCTTGTTGCAAGTGGTGGAAAAGCATAATCTGCACAACTCAATTCTGGTTGCAATACTAAAGATAATGCATCTTGTGTTTGTGAGAGAAGTGGTTCTGGAAGTAATGAAAGTGAAACTCCATCTGGAACCATAATAGAACCTCCATCCAAATCAGCAACTATTACATCCATCTATAAAAAAACATGATACTTAATAAAATATATAATATATATTATGACATAGTAAAAAATGATATTGTATAAAGCTTTACTAAATATCTTACAAGTTCTGTAACTTCATGTTTCAGTGAACTATGTACACCCATAATAAATGGAGTAGGTGTACTGAGTACTTCAACTAAAGCTGCTGGTAAAAGAGGAATGTAAACATGTGTGTATCTAAATGGATACATTAATGCAGTAAGAGCACGACATCCTTCAGTTAACCGTGAATAACTTGCAGAATGAAAAAGTATTTTATGTTCTGTCATAACAGCACAAAATAATACTAATACATTACGGATTCCTAAAATGCGAATATAATGTAATAAAAATGTATGAAAATATATTTATAATAATTAATATATTTATAATAATAGTTATTTTTACCTAGTTGTTGAAATAAAAGATTAACGCTACTGTGTGTTATTGGAAGAGAAGGACTAATTGGAGGCTGAAGTGCTTGACGATCACCTGCACCAATGCTAAATCTTACTTGTGGTCCACCAGCAGGTGGTACTTGTATACAACCTAATATGTTTCCTACTAGAGTTTCTAATGGTATTCCAAGATTTTCTACATACACAGTGTATATAATACCAAGGCAATTCTAAAATGTTAATATAAAAATAAAATTTGTATTTTTAAAATTAATTATAATTTTAATATAATAAAATATACATACTCTGAAAGTTTCAATATAATCAAGTCTGGAAACCAGCACCAGACATTTAGGTGCGTACATAATGCTGTGATGTGCAATTGTAGGTATTGTTCTAACCAAAGAACGACTATCACCATCTACAGGATCTTCTTCTTCATCTACAGGTTTACTTGGCAAAATAGATATTGTTTCATTGAAACACATACAAGCACAATAATGACGATTTGCATCAATGTCAGTTAAAATAGATACAAAAAATCGTGGTTCTTGTCTTTCTGTAGATAAGGCCCATCCTTGTGGTTGACAAAACTGTAAAATAAAATTCAGTACAAAAAAATTATAAAACATGAAAATATGATAAAAAAATTTTACCCATTCTATGCCTTCTATGAATGGTGTATCTGACCAATCTTTTTCTGGAAATCTTTGTAAAATAATTCCATTACTTATACCACCTCCTATAAAAATAAATAATATATATATATATATATATTAAATCTTTTATTATTATATTTCAATAAATCATATTTCTTTATAATAAAAATATTTTTATAATAAAAATTTTCTTAAATAAAATTATATGATATAAATAATTATAATAAATAATTATCACATAAATAAAAAATCATTTTTATTTAATATAATTTTTTTACAAATTATATATTTATGTTTTATTTAATATGCATTTAGTTTATATTTATATTTTCATCATATTTATTATCATATTGATTAAATTTAAATATTTATATTTGACATTTTTAATAAATTTATTACAAAAATTACATATTATTGTCATATATTAAATGTTTATCAGTTATGTATGTTAAAAATATGGATATATTTTTAAAATATAATTTTAATTAAAAACTAAAAACTTACTCTCTTTTTCGTGGTCGTAGCCGACCACAACAAAGTAGTCGGCTAACCGAGACATTTCGGTATATTCGTGGGGATTCGTGGGGGTGATAGCGCCCAACATCCCACGTAGACTTTAATACACGTGATTTCATGGACCGTATTACCAAGTAACAATCAACTACCTTGTGTCAATGTTACACATAAATACACATCAATATGCAAATTAATTGGAAAGTATTATAAACATTTTTGAATTTATATATTCCTATTCAAATAATATAAATTTCTATTTAAAGCACTGAAAATATAATATTGTTGTAAGTATATTTAAAAAATTTTGTTCCATTTGAGAAACAAATTTTAGATGATGGTTGAAATTTTACTAGCGTCACACGTACCGTTGAAAACAAATACTTCACATTCGTCACGTTTAAAAAATAAATTTATCCGTCATCATAAAAGTATACAATATTTTATTATTTTATAAAACACAATATGATGCCACACCCCGAAGCTTTAATCCATAACCTTCCAAACTCAAGCGCCACATTGAGTGTTTGTTGAACCGCGTACGAACTAAAACGCGCCACATATATACAAACGAAGAGACAAATGCGCTGCAATTCGCATTTAATTTTACTTTTTTTGTCTTCTGCTTGGGTCACTGAGAAAACTTTAAATCTGAAAACATACACATTATTAGAAACGTTACTTCGATATAACTTATAGCGCGTTCATAGTGAAATTATTGCACAAATAATGTATAAATATTAACTTATCTATGTGCTGTTTTATGAAATTCATATTAAGTAATTCTTTATTTAATATAAGATATAAATAAGATATAAAATATAAATTATATATAATATAAAATTTAATATTTTTGAATTCATAAAAACTTTCATATAAATAATTTTTTTCTATATATTATATTTATATCAAATTATAACTATTTAAAATAAAAGAATAAATATATTTTTAAGTTATTTTATTTGATTTAAGTTATTTTAATCTAATATTTTATATCATAATAAAAAGATGAATAATCTTTACATAATCATAATATAGTAATCATAATATAGATTACATCTTTAAACGATACTTAACCTTAAAGTTATCACGTGAAATAGTTTGATAAAAAAAAAAATTTAACATAAACAAATTAAATATTTTCTAAAATCAGTTTAGTAAAAGAATCAATTTTTCATAATCAATTTATTTAAAAAAATTAAATACTTTCAGGAATTAAAAATATTTAAATCATTAGATTAGGAATATAAATTTTTTAAATTTTATAAAGTTTTAATTTTAATGAAATGAATATTTCTCAAATATTTTTGAAAATTACTACAGATGAAAAAGTAGGATTTGCTATTGCAACATTAATAGGTTATTGCTTATATAAAGTAATGTTAATAATTAATAAAAGAAAATTGCAATCTTCTAGCAATGAAACATTAAATATGGTAAGTAAAGCTAAAATTCATTTATATTTGATTTAAATATAAATAATAAATATAATAAAATAGTTTTTATTTTCAAGGTATTTTCAGATAATTACAAGCTTATTTTAGTTATTAGAACTGACTTAAAAATGGGAAAAGGAAAAGTAGCAGCACAATGTGCTCATGCTGCTGTTGCAGCTTATAAAGCAGCTGTAAATTATCCTAAAATTTTACAAGCTTGGGAAGAATCTGGCCAAGTCAAAATTACAGTTAAGGTATATATATTTTCCATGTAATATTATTTTTTAAAAACAAATATTAAAAAATTCAAAACATTTTTAGGTCGATAGTGATAATGCTTTGAAACTAGTAGCAAAACAAGCCAAAGCTGTAGGACTTTTGACAAATATAATACAGGATGCTGGACGTACCCAAGTGAAACCAGGAAGCAGAACAGTATGTGCAATTGGTCCTGGTCCAACTGAATTAATAGATCAAGTAACAGGACATTTAAAATTGTTTTAATAATTTACTAAATAAAGATATCTTATTTTTTACCTAATTTTTAAGTGTATTTTTTGTCTTTTTAAATTTAATTATTGAAATGAATCTATCTATTAATATATTGATCTAACATTTTTATGGATTTTGATGATTTTTAAATAAGTAATAAAGGATAAAATTTTAAACAACTATATATAATTATCAATCAGGTTTACTTTTTGAATTATTTGCAAAATATCATTAAATTTTATATATTTTATATATATATTATATTATATATAATATTATATAATATTAATATATAAATATATTTTATATTTTTATATTAATATATAAATATGAATATATTTTATATATTTATATATATGTCTATAGCAATGTATCCAATGTTTCCATTACTTATATGTCATAGTGGAAAATATCCAAAATGTATTTTATATTTATTATTTATTGTTATTTCAATCATTATAATTTCAATCATGCAAGAGTTATTTCATATTTTATTCTTTTTCTCAATGTATAAATATTACATAATTATTTTTATGGAAGCTTCAAATGCTCAAGCACTTCAAATCAATAAATCTACTGATTATATATACAAAAAAAAGTTGTTTAAAACCTTGTCTTTTATAATATATTTAATATATTATAATATATTTAAATATTATCAAAATTCTTAAGTTTATTATATATCATTTTAGTACTAAATAGTTTATTAATTTTATTACTGAATTTTTATTTATGTATGTATATATATATATATTTTTTATTATATTTGCTATAAAAAATAAATATAATAATAAATTGATGATATAACAATAAATACATATGTATAATTTATATAAAATTACATTCTATTAAAAAATATGTCAATATATTTATCAAAAATGAAAAAATATAAATTTTAGCTTAATAATTTGTACAAATTTAAATATAATATCTATTTGAAATATTATTTTAGTTACTAGTCACAACATGTATTGTAATAAATTTCATTTAATAAATTTAAATATAACATTATACATAAACAATATATATTTAAAATATATTCATTTTTATGCTAATATAATACATTTTTGCATTAATACATTATTAATATATTATAGCATTAGGTGCCATTGTAACAATAATACATTATTAATATTGAATTTTATTAATTATCAGTGTTAAGCAAATAGTATTTACCGATTTTTAAATTGGAAAACAAATTAAAAATACACAAGTAATGTATTTTCATATAACACCACATAACAAAATAAAAAATTACCATAAATTATTCCAGTTCTGATCACAAAATATTAAAAATTTGTTTCCAATAAAATATATTCCATTCTTTGGTACCTCGTGCTATTATTATCATTTAAAATATTATTTAATGTTTATAAATACATAAATAATCTACACTGGAGGAGGAGGTGCTTTTCGATGTATTTTGTTAGAGCTGGTAGCACTACATTGTGATTCAGCAATAGATCTACCATCAGCTTCATCTCTTCGACATAATTCTGATTCGTTTTGTATCCAATTTTGATTTTGATTATGATTTGTTCGCGTTGATTGATTTTCTTCATTTCCAGAAACAGAACCTACTTCTCCTAATAACTTTGATAAAGATGGTGCCAATCCTAATCCCAAATTTCGTTCATGATATACTTCTGAAATTGTAGGTGTTAATTCACGAGTTAAACTAGTAAGAGATGTGGCTACATTCCTTAAATTTTGATTATGTGTTTCTGTAGATTGTGTAGAATCAGTCTGAGAACAAATATCCTCAGTTGTTGCTGGATGACGAGGTTTTCTTGGAGAATTTGATCCAATTTCTGTTCTAACACTTAATCTTTCTAGTACTGTTGCTGGTAAAGGTGGTAATGGTTGTCGTCTCAAAACTGTTGCATGACCATTATCCCAATCTGTTACTGAACTACTTGAACTAGATCCTGGTCTTATGCTTTGATCAGGATAAAGATTTCTGATCCGTGTTTGATGATTTAAATTGAGTGCTACAGGAGGACTAGGAGTAAAAGCAACATCTGATTCACCTATAAAATATTATATATATGTAATTTTATGCTTATGTTTATTTAACCCTTTCGCTACGAGTGACTTTTCCGCCACGCCATTCCCACTGAACGAGTCATCGCACAAAATGTGCACGGTACACGAGAAAGATCGTTGCTTTAATGGTTTATTGAAAAAAATTGATGATAAAAACAAAATATCGATATTATATTTCCAGAGAAAGATACTCGATGTGCAATAACTCCAATCGTTATATCATCAATTCATCATATCATACGATACGCGGCATCTTGTGCAGAGCGACTATAGTCGCCCATAGTAGCAAAAGGGTTAAAGTCTTAGGTTGAATTATTTATACCTCCACCATTTTGACATGGTTGTCGTGATGTAGGAATTGGAACATTTGGTGGTTCCATAGTTTTACCATCTGGTTCACCTCGATGTCGAACATAATTTGCAAATGCACCTCCTAATCTAGGTCTTTCTATGACATTTTTTTCAATATGAGCAACAGAAGCTAAACTTTCCATTGAGCTACTAGAATCTAAAGTCAAACTTTTAGGTGCTTCTTGTGTATCTAATAACATAATTATGTTATATATTATATTTTATATTATTTAAATAATATAAAATATTTATTTATATAATCAATAAAAATTTACCAAATAGAGCTAGAAGAGCTTGAAGAGCAAATTGAACAGCTCTTCGTGATGCTTGTTTTCCTGTTCTTAATGTAACTTCTGATTGACCAACTTCCATGAGATCAAAGCCTAAACTTGCAAATAATTCATGGGATCCTGATGCTCTCCATACTTGAACTGGTAATGTAACTTCTTGACCTTCTGTTGCGCATGTAGCTCTTCTCATTGCAGCAATAACATCTTCTGCTGCTTCTGGCGCCTAGGAGAAGGAATATTTTTAATATAATAAATTATATTAAACTTATATTTGAATATGTAGATTTATATATTACCTGCAATAATCTAGCAAGTGCATGTAATGATGATGGTCCCAATCCTAATAATGCTTGCAAACTTGCACTACATCTTGTTAATCTTTCTTCAGGATCACTTTGTGGAAAAAATACAGAAGATGGTATTCCATTTCCAGCAGGTTCAAATCTAAAACCTACTGACATTAAAAGTTCTCTCCAACCAGTGGCAGCACCTACTTTATTTTCAATGCTACGCTGTGTTGTATACATAGCATTTTTTTGTCCACGATGTATTCGTTGTAATGATTTTTCTACTAAATGAAGTGTAACACGTAGAGCATCACGACTTTGTTCAGGACCTCCGCGTAATAATTCAGCAAGTGCTTGTCCCATTAAAGCAACCTAAATACATTTTATAAATAATTGTTTTTTAAATTTAATAAAAGTTTTTTCATTCATTACCTTATTTGATAATCTTGCATCTCCTCCAATAAGTAACCAGCCAGCCCAATTTGCAGGATGTGCAAAATGTCTTGTATGTTGAACTGTTTGCATTGCTTCTGCCAATGCTCTTGACGCTCTAGCACCTTGTAACATAGCGCTATAAAATGCTCGTAATAATATACTACCGGCTGTAGGTGGAACTGCCCACATTCCTATAAGTACACATTGTGCTCCTGCATTTAATAAAGCTTTGGCTAAATTTTGTACACCATCTGATGTAGCAGTTGTATTTTCTGTACTATTCCAACCATGACCACTAGATATTACAACTAAACGAGCAGATATTCTTAATTTTGTAATATCTGAATAGCTTAGCAAATATTCTGATCTTACAGAAGAGTCTTCACAAGGATCTGCAGTTAATGCTAAACTAGCAGAATTCCAAAAAACTGGTACTGTTAAGTGTACGCATTCTGCATCGGGTAAGGATCTTAAAACAGTTGACCTTGTTGCTTCTGTACCTAAATAATAAAAATGAAAAAAAAATTTATTTATAATTTTTTTTTAATTTTCTAAATTCATATTAATATCTACCGGTTAAAGCACGAGCTTCTAATAATTCAGCAACAATCTCAGATTCTGTTTCAGTTGAAGTAATGCTTTCAGACCACCCATATTCTTCTCTAATTTCTTCAGGAAGTACAGGATTTCCTGCAACTAGTGCAGCTACTGTTGCACCTCCTTCTGGCATAGGAGTTTTTGATCGCTTTTTTAAAGCTGCTAGAGATGGTACTACTAATAAAGAAAATCTTTCACATAAATAATCTTCTCCAGGATTTGATTGTAAAGCTGGAAGTGGAGCTAAATATAATGATTTCTCCACTACCATAATTAATTCTTTTCTTGCAGGTGGTAAAAGATCTTCAAATGGTGCTAAAAGTAAATCATAGAGTACTTGAATTGGTAATGGTGATTGCCATGTAGGTCCTTTGCTTCCTCGTCCCCATCGAGCACTTCCTGCTCGTGAACTAATTGAACCCACACTAAACAAACTGCTCAAACTATATGAACTAGCATTAAGATGATGTCCTCTTGATGGTATTTTTGTTTCTTCAACAAGTTCATTTGTTTCCTCTAAAAGAGCTTCTCGTGCTTGTAAAACTCGTTTTTCTAATCCTATACCATCATCTAAACTAGTGGAATGAAATCGCAATAATCCTCGGCCAGGTGCTAAGCACCAAGCATGTAATTCACATCCTACTTCACTGAAATGTGAAATTTGTTAATCATTTTATAATATCATGACTTATTTATATTATTTATTAGTATAAATATAAATTACCTATAATATAAAATAACTCCACGTTGTCTATCAATAATTTCGGAATAATGCGCAGCATCATCCAAACAATTACTTTTATTTCGTCTCGATCTTTCTGCCCAATTCAAAGCTTCTTCAGCTCTATTTAAATTAATTAGTACTTTTTGTAACATTCTGTATGTCTCTGATAATAATTCGGATTTATTTGGTTGTCCACAAGTAAGAGTTGAAGAAATTCCGTCTAATGATTCTAATAAATTTGCTGCCTTTTCTAAATGTTCTACAGCAATAATTGCTTCTCCAGCTTCCCAATGAACAAGACCAAGTCTATGTCTCAATC